GGTGTGTGGCCAGTCTCTGCTCACAATACAGACACCACCCCTGATTCACCTGGAGACATTGATTCACAAGTGCACTACAATTAGAACAGTGCATTTTGAGAATACAAAAAAGTTCCCACTAACTTAAGAAGGAATGGACTAATTTTAAAATGACAAAAATAAGTCATCAGTACTAGTTTTAAACCTACTCAGTGAATCAACAACTTCCATTAGTCACAATGATTCATCCTCCTAGGTAGATTCAAACTCCTAGAGGACAGGAACTGTCTTACATTTCTTCTTCACCACCAATGGGAGGACTCTGGGGCTGAACATGTAGCTAAAGTCAGGATATACCTGTTGGCCTAGTAAAAGGAAAAATGCTCACTCAGAAATATAAGCAACCGTTAAGAGAAGTCTTCCTCATTCTGGTACACTGAATTTTATGGTTTTAGTGTTTGATCTGAGAAGCAGATTCTGAATATCTCTTTTCTGGGAGTTAGGCTTTGCCCATCCTGCACGTCAACTTTCAGGCCAAAGTTCATTAATGAACATGGCACTCTAGGTTGTTAACCTTAATCACTGGCTACCTCTGAACTTTGAACATTCCTGAAGGGAATATAAGTATTAAATAACAAGTTTATACTTTGGAAATCATGACTGGAGAAACTACTTTTAAGCCACTGTTCAAGAGAATCCACAATCAAATTCATAAATTCATTCAGCAATTTCCCCATCTCTAGTGACCATTCCAGCCAAGGAGGCCAGCCTTTCTTATGCACAGTGCTGCTTTCAACCAGTTTTCCACTCAGCAGTAAGAAAGATCTTTAGAAAATATACACAAAATCATGCTGTTTTCTGCTTCTCCTGTCCTGCCATCACCTCCTGTACCACCTCTGGCACACACATAGTGGCTGCTTATATTCTCCAGAAAAGCACAAAGGTCCCCATGTGAACCTATTTCAATGCTGTCTATGGTGGGTGATACGCTTCTCCAGCTCTACCTCATCACGTGGTCACCTTTGTCCTGCTCAAGTCTCTCTTCAACTGTCACCTCTTCTGATTGTTTCTTGACACCCAAACCAAAAAAAAAAAAAAAAGGAGGGGGTATCAAAGCAGAAATTTTAAGCCAAAAAAAAAAAAAAAACCAAAAAAAAAAAAAAAAGGAGGGGGCGAGAGTTCTTGCTTTCTCCTTACTTTTTGTCACAACAGTCTGTTTCCTGAATAAGAATAACAATTGGACATAAGTGTGTATTTGTTCTTCTACTTGTTCGTTGTGTTTCTCCTCTACTAAACTATAAGCTCTCTGAAGTGGTACCACACAAGTAGAGCACCAAGTAGGTGTTTAAGTACCAAAATAATTTAGTGACTATACAAAATGGTAGCAATTAGGGACTACCCTGATTTTGTTGGAGAGAGCCCAAAAAGAAGTTTAATAAAGAGACATTGAAGCCGGCAAGATAGCTCAGCACTCTAAAGAGCCTGCTTAGGCAAGCTTAGGCAGGCCCAGGGGACCTCTGTCTGGTCCCCTCCACCACATGGTACAGTGCCAGCCCCACCCTCAGGGTGGGCTGAGCTGGCCAAAAATAAATATAAATAAATAAATAAATAAATAGAGACAATAAGCACCTTTATGTGCTAGTTATGGCATAATTGTATAACTAAAGGTTCTCTTCCTTTATTTCTTTTCTGCTTTTTAAAAACAAAAGTTTCATCTTGTCACATGACTCACTGGTAAAGACAACATTTGCTAACATCCCTTGCAGCTAGCTGTGATTACATGACTAATCTCTAGACAACAGGATACGAGCAGATCTGAGTGTGCGCCTTCTGACTCACTCCTTCCTCTTTTCACCTTTAGGACTGGAATGTGGACTGGATAAGCCATCTGCAAGCCGGGCTGATAAAGGAACCACAGAGCAGCCACAGAAGAGCAAGATGAGAGGAGCACAAACCACCTTAGCAGCCAGAAACTTCTTCCTGTGGGCTGAAGTATATGGGGGGGGACCACAAAATTTACTTTGCTTTTACTCAGTTATTTTGGTCTTCTAAGGCAGCATTACAAAGATCTTAATGCACTAGGCTAAAGCTATTTTACATCCCAGTCCCTTTGCTGTGTTCCAATTTGCCCACCCCGGGACACAGGCACACCTTCATATGCATGTCAGAATCAGAACATAAATTGGTATCATCCCTGTTACTGAGACTGAACTCAGCTGTCCAAAAGCTGTCACACTGATCCTGGCTCAAGCCCCATTAGCAAATCATTGGCGAGCTCACTGCAGCCTGGTACATGACACCATTCCCGACTTACCAAGAAATGGTCAACACCAGAAGGGAGTTTTGTTAAAAGAAATTAATAGTTCTTAGGTATGCAGTAAAAATCTAACTCTAATGCTGCAAAATGAAGAAGGCTTCCCCACTATAGCATTTTTGCTGAGCTGAATTATCAGCAGGAAATCTGGTCATCAGTCTTTGCTAGTCAGGTCCCATCCAATACAACACAGGGATAGGCTACTATTTAAAAACTTACAGTAACTGTGTTTTTGAATCAGGCTACCTTATCCATTGGATTAAGAACAACAACAGTTGACTTTTTACATCTTTTCCATGTTGAATCTGAGCTTCTGGGGCTGTAAGATGGGGTATTATCATTCTAAAATTAAGTTATCGCTACCACAAATTGCCCTGTCCAGTCTTCCTGCTCTCTGAACTATCCCCTGATTTGTGTATCTGTCATCCAAAGGATCACAAATAACCTACTTGCCATGGCCAGACTCTGCCATTTTAATTGACCACCATTATTAGGTTTAATAGTAACTAGGCCATAAAATATTACCATTTCAGCACCCAAAAATCACCACTAGCTCCTCCCAGAAAGAAGGAGCTAAAAGTGGAAAGGCATTTGGCTCAGGGTAACATTAAGTAATTAGAACTGCATGTAACACCACCTTTGAATTCCCAGACTCCAGCCAACTGCTGTGATTAGGCTGTGTGCACAGTCGGGCTTGCTCCTTCCTGATCTTTGAAGCAGCATGTCACTTGTCATTTCACAGCTGGTGCTGCAAGGCTTGCATGCTGAGGCAAGTTCTGCAGTATTGTTTGGTAGTGAAATGGTAATATTTTGGAGCCAGGGAGATAGCTCAGTAGAACAAGTGCTTGTCTGGCAAGCACAAGGGCCTGAGTTCAATCCCCGGTTCTGCTAAAAAAAAAAGAAAGAAAGAAAGAAAGAAAGAAAGAAAGAAAGAAAGAAAGAAAGAAAGAAAGAAAGAAAGAAAGAAAAAAGAAAAGAAATGGTAATATTTTATTGGCTAGTTAGTATTAAACCAATGGTGGTCAACTAAGATAGCAGAGTCTGGCCATGGCAGATCCTTTGGGTGACAGATATGCAAATCAGGGGATAGTTCAAAGAACAGGAAGACTGGACAGGACAATGGAGATAGTGACAGACAGTGAAGGTTGTTGGTTACAAGAACCTTGAGATTCTCCTTGGTGTGAGAGCTGTAGGATCTGATCTTTGTTCTCTGATCTTTTATTTTTCTATCTTATCTCTCATGGCACACATACACTTTTAATCTCCCATTCACACCATTCCTACACACTCACACATTCCTCTCCCACTCACATTATTCCTACACATATATTAAAAAAAAAAAACTTCATTGTCTCATTTCTGCACTGCATCCCAGTGCCTAGCATATTTCCAAGCAAATGGCCAGGGCTTAATAAATGCTGCCAGAATACTGTGAACTCGTTAAGAGTCTTACGAGCTGGCTCAGGCAGTCTCTCACTTCAAGTCAGGGGCAGAGCTGAGGCCTGATCGACATTTCTCCAGCATCAAGACTCTGGGAGTCTACATGTTGAGAATCATGTTAGTCTGAGCTGGCAGCTGCTTTGCAGAGGGAAGAACATGAAGTTACTGGGCAGATGGGATGGGGGAGGAGCAGCGAGCTGGTGAGCAGCAAGAACATCGAGGAAGAAGAAGGGAGTCTTTGCTAACAGAGCATGACAGAGCAGGGCGCATGGAAAGAACATGGATACAGCAATACCCTGCATCACTGCCCCCTTTGTCCTAGGGAAGAGGGCATTGCTGTATCCATGTTCTTTCCTACTCCATTCCCCCAAAAGATACTTGTCGATCTTTACATTATTTTAATACCTAGCAAGTGAAGTAACAGCACTTTAACCACAGACTTAGTAGAAATAGCATCCCACCCAGAGTAAGATCACTGCACCTGGTTGTTCTCTAGCCCTGCCAAGTTCTTAAAGCAAGAATAAGGAGCAAATCTGCATAACAAATCCATTACCGGGCAGCAACATGCAGATGAGAAATTTCCTCCACCCTCAGCAGGCTGAGCAGTCGGCCTAAAAATGAACTAGAAGACAAGCTCTCACACATAACCCTACAGATGAGTCTTGCAGGAAGCATACACCCTCCAAAGAAAGATCTCTTGCATCTGCTCTGCGCTGACTGAATGGGATCAGATAAAAAATCTGGTCAAGGTTGCTTCTTCTCGACATACCTGGGTGGGGTGCAGAGGAGGTGGCTATGGACCAGAGTTTGCTTTTAAATCATTTATTATCTTGGTTTTGTGACTAATTAGCACTGCACCTCCTCTACCCCTTAGAATCCTCTCCAAGGCTCCCCACAACACCCGACGATGAAAGGGTCCGTAAACTGGATTTCTGCCCCCTCACCCATGCCTGCCCCATCTCCCCTTCCCAGCCAGTGACACAGAGAAGCTGGAGCCCAAACATAGCCCGGAACTTCAACGCAGGCGAGCACAGCAAGGCTCAGGAGCCAGAGCCTTTCTTTATTCAGATACACTAGAGATTTAATTTTAATTAACCCTGAGAACTATGGCTCAGAGGATTGAATTTTTAAAATACAGAAAACCTCTCTTTGTATTATTTATTTTTGCATGTCCCTTTTCCTTTTCCCAAATAATATCAAAAATTTTTAAATTAAAAAAAAAAAAAAACCAACAAAACAACGAGGGAGGAGTCTCACCCACACGTACCCAGGGACCGACGCCTACCGAGGATGCGGACTTCGAGAGGCGGCCACCAGAGAGCGGTCCAGCCCAGGAGGATGCTGTGGGCCGCCTCGGGGGGCGGGGCCAAAGGCAGAGCGGCCGCCGGTCACGTGGCCTCGGGCCCTTAGCCCCGCCCACATCTGCAGACTCCCTTGACCTGCACCAGCGGCCGTCTGTGCACTCGGAAGCTCAGCGCTATGGGCTCCTGGACAAAGGGCAAGAGCTGCCTGGCGCCCGGCTTGCTGCAGAACTGTGCAGCTGTCGTCACCGGCGGGGCCACGGGCATCGGAAAAGCCATCGCCAAGGAGCTCCTGAACCTGGGTATGGAGCAGTCTTGGGTGTGGGACCAGGGTCTGCACAGGTCTGGCTGTGGTCACCGGGGGTCGCCGTCCCGGGGCCTTGCGAAGTGCGAAGCACGGAGGCTGTAGAAGGGAGCCAGGGAAGGAGAGAGAGGTGATCTCTCTAGGAAATCAGACATCCTCGGGAAGCATTGGCAGATGAGCCACTCACTAAGTAGAAGGTGGGGGTGCTGAGAGCCAAATGTTGCCTCCTCTTACTAATTAGGAAACACATGGAGACTCCCTTTACCTAGAAGATAGACTCTGTTACAACACACAAGAAAGTAGAGTGGTGGGTGGAGCAGGGAGCTTGGAACACAAACACAAGGAAAGAAGCCACACATGGGAGCATGGTTAAATTTATTTCTGAAATTATAAATCTTCAATGAGTTAAAAAAATATGAACGACGGTTGAAGGTATATGAAGAAAAATATTTACAACATAGGAAAAGTAGTCTTACTACACAAAGAGCTTTTGTAAATAAATCAAAGAGCCAAGATACCAATAGAAATATAGGCTAACATTCCAAAAGAGGAACTACATAGAGGCCATAAGTTTTTAAGAAAACAATGATCTCTATTGGTGATAGATATAAAATAAGATACTGTTTTTATAAAAAACTTACAAATATTGGAGGAAATTAACTATTGATAACAGAATGAAAAAGGCAGGAAGGAATATAAATTACTACCTTTCTGGTAGGCAAATTGGGGAAAAAAAAAAAAAGCTCCAAAAGCCGTGATATTCATGCTCTTTGACCTTTCTCAGAATATTACACTAGGGGCTGGTGATATGGCTCAGTGGTCTAAAGCACCTACTTAGGGGCTGGGGAGATGGCTCAGTAGGATAAGCACTTGACTGGCAAAC